ATACTGTTTTCCAATCCATGGTTTCTATGAATAATAATTATTTTCTCTTTCTCTCTCCCAACTCTATCTTCTTCCTCCAATAAAAGTGCGACACGAGCTCCCTAAAAACTGGTGGTTTCTCCCCAATGGCGATTTCATGATTTCTTGGTACATTGGGTCAAGAGTAGACCTGATTTCTTCATAAGGAAACCATTTCTATGATTTTTGCTCTCTTTCTTCATTAATTACGTTGCCATGTCAGCGTTTTGCCTACGTGGCAAGTCATTTAATGAGGATAGAAACCATCATCAATACACCATTGGGACTGCCCTAATAAAGAGCATTAAATATAGATTAATTACAAAATCAATTACATAGATGAAGGCTAATTTGCGATACGAAATTTTTAAGCCTAATTAATCTATCATTAGCACATGTTTACTGTAGCACCAAGTTGTCAAATCATGGACTAATTAGGCTTAAAAGATTCGTCTCACAAATTAGTCGCAAGTTGTACAACTAGTTTCATAATTAGTCTATATTTAATACTCCATACATGTATCCAAACATTCGATGTGACAAAAATTTTAGGAGCTCATGTAGAAACCAAACAGACCCTAAGTGCTCACACGGTCGAAGAAAGATTGCATTTCTAGGGAGTGTCAAGTTTTATATTCTAAGTTTAACCACTTATAGATAAAAAGTATCAATATTTTTTATATTAATTTAATATTATTAGATTAATTACGAAATGTATTTTCTTAATAAACTAATTTAGGGCCTGTTTTAGATGCACCCTAGCTAAAATTTGACCACACCGTTTTAGCTCGGGGTGTTTAGATCCTCCAGCTAAACTTTAGCTGGGGGTAGTTTGGTCATCTAGGCCTTTTAGCTGGTTTTAGCTAGGTTGAAACAGCTAAAGGGATTGTGTACATTTTTACCTTCAGTTAAAGTTTAGCTGGGTTTAGCTATGGGTTGTTTGGATGCACCATAACTAAAATTAGCCAACTAAAATCTATCTTGAGCATCCAAACAGGGCCTTAGAGCAATAAATATAAATATTATTCACTAGAAACTTAGTCAAACGCCGGCACATAATTCATACTCCCTCCATCCCAAAATAAGTGATGTTTTTTACTTTCAGACATCTTGTTTGACTATAAGGCCCTATTTGGATGCATCGACGCCAACGTGGCTGAGGAAGCTCGGTGCCAATTACTATGACGCTGAGACGTGTAATCTTGGCGTCAATTACTACAGCGCCGAGCTGAGGGTCCAGATTTTAAAAGCATGCCTCCATAGACATATTTATGAAAATCTTTAAACAAATGGCCATAAAACAAAAAAATCGGTGTTAGTGTCTCCTCGGTGTCTTCTAAGTGTCAGCTGCGTGCACGCCTTCTGTGATATGGAGGTAGAAGGGCATGCCATTGCAATTGCAATAAACATTCTCGATCTCTCGGTTACTCCCTCCGTCCACGAAACAAAATAGCTACTCCCTCCATTCCAAAATAAGTCTTTGACTTTTTGATGACATCTTATTTGACCGTTCGTCTTATTTAAAATTTTTATATAAATATTATCTATTTTTATGACTTATTTTATTATTAGAGATACTTTAATAATTATTTAATTATTTTATAATTTACACAAATTTTTTTAATAAGATGAATGGTTAAACAAGATATCTGAAAGTAAAAAACATCATTTATTTTGGGATGGATGGAGTATGAATTATGTGCCGGCGTTTGACTAAGTTTCTAGTGAATAATATTCATATTTATTGCTCTAAGGTCCTGTTTAGATGCACAAGCTAAATTTTAGTTGGTTAATTTTAGTTATGGTGCATCTAAACAATGCACAGCTAAACTCGGCTAAGCTTTAACAGAATTCGACACCACTAGTTTGAGATCGCCGGCGTGACCTCTCTGACCTGGAGGCCAGTCTGAAGTTCAGAGAAAACACGCAAATGGATATGAATAACCAGCAGGTACCTCTAGACCACGCGGCCTGCAATTCAAACTGACTGCTCCTTCCGGAAGGAAAAAATATACGAGGAAATCAAACGGCGTTTTTGTCTCGTGTTTGGATGGGCATGCAAGCAGATGCCATGCCAGTATGCCACTCTGATTCACTCTCTCGAACTGGCTGCGATGCGACGAGATAGAAGCAGGGCTTTGTTAAGATTGGGGTTAGGAATTAGTATTTGGCATCGTAGTATTTTTGTTTGTATTTGATAATTACTGTCCAATCATAGTCTAACTAGGCTCAAAAGATTCGTCTCGTAATTTACAATCAAACTGTATAATTAGTTATTTTTTATCTATATTTAATACTCCATATATGTGTCTAAAGATTTGATGTGATAAAGAGAGAGTGAAAAAAATTGTCATCTAAACAAGACCTATAGTACGAGTAGAACAGGACTACAGCTGGCTAGCTAGCGGTACGACCTCCCACATGCACACACACCAGAAACAACAGCGAAAGATTCATGGGTCTCGCCACCTTTTTGGCTTCAGCTTGCATTCTGACCCGTGCTGTCAGTCCGGCGCTACTAGTCTCGTCGCCGCACGCCGCAGTCCGCCTCGCGGCCGTGTTTCCCACAGCCATCCCGTCGCATTGATCCCAGCGGCCGCTCTATGTTCTTCACTGCCGTGCCGGGATGGATGGCGTGGCGGCGCCGCGTCAAAATCGGTGGCACGGCAGACCTTATCACGTCATCGGTCAGCGTCTTGGTCGTCGTCACGTCAGCCCTTTCGCCGCGTCATCATGCATGACATGGCACAGGCATTTCGCCGCGTTATTGCAATAGACACGGCAAAAAGTGGTAGATTTGGAAATAAAAAACAACTGGTGTTAGATTTAAAATTAATTTACAAAAAATGTTAAAATTAAAAAAAATCCCAGTGCCTAGACGCTGCCCGCACATGGTGGAGCGAACGAGCGTCTAACGCCTTGGGCTCGCGAGGGAGCGCATCAGTAATGGTTCCGTGCCGCCCTAGACATCGTCTGCGCTGCTGCCCACTTTCCACGCACATTCTACGTGCAATACCCGATCTTCTATTGAAACATTCAAATGTAATAGTTGCAACATACAAAAGAAGACAAATAAAACACTTGAAATAAGCGTCTGAAACACTTGCGAAAACGTCTGAAAAATATTTGAAAATCATTGCAAACATATGCAACATCTAGATGAAACACTTGCAGACATACGTATGAAACACTTGAAATATATGTTTGCAACATGCATGTATATGCAACATCTAGATCCACTTTCGCAATATCTAGACAAAACACTTGCAACATTCGTCTGGAACAAATAAAACATTTGGAACGTGCACTTGAAACATACGTGTATAGTTATTATAACATGTGTAATATCCCAATATTCTTTTGTAACATTGATATACAACACTTGCAACATAACTCAGAAACATCTGAAATACTTGAAACATACTTTTAAAACATGCGTTTTCAACGTAGCATCTGCTTACTGCTCGGACGAATGGAGGCTCGTCGACGCGGAGCTCGAAGCTACAGAGGTCACTGGTGTGGAGCTCGTCAGCGGCACAAACCTCTCGACAGGGGCAGAGGCAGACGGATAGAGCACAGCCGTGACATGAGGCGCGAGTTCAGGAGTGAACTAGCGCGTTGGGCTCACCGGGCGGGCGGCGTGGGCGCTCGGGGACAGTGTCAGTCCTGCAGACAACGTGGACGGGACGGTGTGGACGAATGCGGGTCCGTCCGGACGGGCGCCGAGCGTTTCCGTTAGGTAAACCCAATCGTGAGTTTTCCCCGCCTGGTTGCCTCGTTTCGTCGTCGGTTTCGTCTCGCCCTGTGGCTGTCGGGAAAAGCATTCACGGGCCGGGGCCTCGTCAATGCGAGGCAGAAGCGATGGAGGACGAGTAGTGTTGAAAACGGTCGGGAACGGTCGGGAAAATGTCTTAACCATTCCCGCTCCTGTATTTTTTTGTCGGGAACGGAAACGGGAACGGGAAGGCCGGACGGGAAAACGAAACCGGTATTACGGGATATCGGGAACGGAATATTTCGAACGGAAACGTGTCGATTACGATCGGGAAGCGGAACACAAAACGGGAACCGCCGCTAGCCCCTTCCTTGCCCATGACAAAATACTAAAAATATAAAAAATAAGATATTCGAAATGGGTCTAAAACACCTATTCACATGACAAAGGAAAAAGATAATAATAACGAGGCGAAAAAATGAGAAGGAAGACGTATGGAGTGTGTTGTTGGGCTCCAGTGCGCTGTTCCACGGGTGGGCCTAAAGCAAGGAAAAGATGGCAGCTACGTTGGGCCGCAGCCCATTAGAATATATCGCCAGGGCGCTCGACCTCGACCTCGGCAGAGCCTGAGCCGCAGCTAGTTCATTCGTTTAGTCCCACCTCGCCCAGCCAAGCAACGCGGAGGCGCGCACTCGCTACATAAGGAGACCCAGGGCGGCAAACCAAAGCATATCTTTCTCGTCCTGCTTGAATACGGGAATACCGGCGGGAATTTTCCTGCTTGAATACGGGAACCGTGAAGACGGTCGGGAAAACTCCTTAACCGATTTCGATCCTGTTCCTGCGTAAAATACGGTGTCGGTTTCCCGTTTCCTGTTTTTCCTGTAAAAACGGTATACGATCGGTTAATGCGGTAAACGGTGTCGGTCGGTACGGGAATTTCCCGTCCCGTTTTCACCCCGAAGGACGAGGCGATGGCACTGACCGTCGGAGGGTACGGTGGTGTGACTCGCGAGGCGTCGGACGCGCAGGACAGGCGCGGCCGATGTCGTGGTTGTAGAAAGTGACGAGCCTCGCCGCTAGCAGCTGGGCCTTTTACATGGTGCAATTCACTTGAAAGGGCTGGCCCAACCCACATTGCGTAGCCTAGCCTAGCCCAGTCCATAGCCGCAGCAGCGCGTGCGCTTTCTGCCACTCCGCTCCACTCCACTTCGCCGTCGCCCGTCGAACAGATCCACCGCGCCCTATCCGTCCCCGTCGACGCGCCATGTCCTCGCCGGCGGCGCATCGGGTCGCCTGCGCCCCGGCATCGCAGCCGGTCTTCCCCGACGAGATCCTGGAGGAGATCTTTCTCCGCCTCGACGCCGCGGAAGACCTCGCCCGCGCCTCCGCCGCCTGCACGACCTTCCGCCGCGTCGTCTCCGCGCGCCGCTTCCTTCACCGCTTCAGGTGCCTCCACCCCTTACCCGTCCTCTGCGTCCTCGATTTCGACGACGAAGCATTCCACCCCGCCGAGCCGCCCCACCGCTCCGCCCCTGCCCCGCCGACTTCACCTTCTCCTTCCTCGGCACCCCTCACTGCTGGCTGGTCTGCGACGCCCGCGAAGGCCGCGTCCTCCTCTACCGTCGCGTCAGTGTCACCGCCGTGTTCCCTGACCTCATGGTCTGCGACCCCTTGCACCGCCGGCACGTCCAGCTACCCGCCATCCCCGACGACCTATCGGCTGCTACTGGGGGCTGGGGCATGCAGGAATTCGATCCATTCCTCAATCCAAACAGTGACAATGCGAAACCAGATTTCTCATTCCGGGTGATTTGCGCTTGTGCAGTGCGAACACAAGCTCGTGACCTTCCACTTCTCTTCAGTCACCGGACAATGGCAGGGCATCACGTTCAATAGAACAATTTCTTTGGAGCCTTTCTTTGTTAGGTTTCAGAAGATGTTTGAGCGCCACTATGCACACGGCTGCTTCTTCTGGATGATCAATATCGTCAGCAGTTTCCTGGTCATGCTCAACATGCATGATATGAAACTCTCAGTTGTTGACCTCCCTCCTGGCATACATGGGATCCCACGAGCACGGGCCATTGTGGAGGCAGGGGAAGGCATGATTGGTCTGTTCACTCTTAGTGATGATGGCATGCTACAGCTCTACTATAAGTCTTTGCGAGGCACTGAGTGGCATCACGAAAGGATAATCCCCTTGCCCAAACCAAACAGTTACTGGAGCATCGATCACACAGCTGCTGGGTACTTACTGTGGGCTGGGGCATGCAGGATTGCGATCCCTTCCTCGATCCAGACACTGACAAGGACAAGGAGAACCAGGATTTGTCATTCGAGGTGATTTGCACTGTGCAGTGCGAACACAAGCTCGTGACCTTCCACTTCTCTTCAGTCACCGGACAATGGCGAGGCATCACTTTCAATAGAACAGTTCCTTTGCACTCTAACTTGGTTAGGTTTCAGGAGATGTTCAAACGCCATTACGCTCATGGCTGCTACTTCTGGACTATCAGTGTTGGCAGCAGTTTTATGATCATGCTCAACATGCATAATATGGAACTCTCTGTTGTTGATCTCCCTCCTGTCATACATGACAACCCGCGAGCACTGGCCATTGTGGAGGCAGGGGAAGGCATGATAGGTCTGTTCACTCTTCGTGATGGCATGCTACAGCTCTACTGTAAGTCTTTGCGAGGAAATGAGTGGCAGCACAAAAGGACAATCCCCTTGCCCAAACCAAACAGTTACTGGAGCATCGTTCATGCAGCTGCTGGGTACTATCTCCTAAAAGTATCACAACTGGATGACTGCCAGTTTGCAATGCAGGGGTCACAGTATTTCACACTCAATCTCAAAATATTCCTAGTTGAGGAGCTGTGCGTTTCGAATAGTCGGTACACTAGAGGTGCTTTCCTCTATGCGAGTTTCTTATCACCATTCTCACTGCCAAGTATATGATACGGTACGAACTTTCCTTATTTTCTTCAGATTTGGAATTACAGTGTTTTTTTATGTGCTCTTGCATCTTACTTATTCTTGTAGCACACTTTTGTTTGGTGCATCATCTCAACTCAATTCCATGGTTTCATGATGCTCACCTGCTGATTGACTGTTTATCAGAGGCATGCCTGCATTTTGACCCCGCACAGAGTGGGAGCTCTCTGCACTGGGTACGCCCTTTATTCATGTTTGGACAGCTGATCTAGGCAATGGATTGATGATTATTTCAGTATTGTTCAGCTGTCACTGCCAGTCAACATGTTTACTACTAACTTCAGGTTTTGATTTTTAACAAAGTAAGATTTTATGTATCACTGGCAGGCAATACATAATTCCATATACTCCCTCCATTTCAAATGTAAGGTGCGGTTTGACTTGTCACATTCTCAAAAATAAGTTGTTGACCCTTAAATTATCCTAATCTACAATGTAATCATAACTCTATGAAAGTACTTTCAAATGTGAAATCCAATGATACCATTTTCATATAATAATTCTGTGTCATGTAAGACTAATTGTTAATTGAAGATTATGATGTTTGAATCTTAAAAAGCACGTCTTATAAAGAGAAACTGAGGATGTATCAAATGTGTATGCCCTCAGATAGGAATGAATGAAGATGCAAATCATGGCCATATTCTCACATATAAGTGAACCAGTGGCGAGTTTAGTTGTATATGAAAAAAAAATCAGTGGTCTCCATTTTACATATGTCCACTTCTTTGGTCTAAACGTCTTCTACACAAGCTTAATGGAGACCTTGTGAGATATAATGTTTGATAGACTTGACTGCACATTACAAGTTTCTTTGTATCATTTTTAGCCTACTCTGTAGGCTTGAACTCAAGTATTAGGCAGATAAAGATGTCTGTGTTTGCTGCAGTTTGCGGGTCTAATCAGTCACAAGCCCTCAACCATATGCATCTCTGTACATGAATCAATTCACGTCTCCAAACACAATGAATAGTTTGTTTGAATGCACATGCCTGGAAACAGTTAACATGGCTTATTTGGTAGGTTTTTGCGTGCTGGTGCTAACATTTAATCTTTGGTAGGTCAGCATCTCAACCAGGACTTCTCAAGGTGATGTTGCAATGTCAGTCGGTAACATCTGTATGGTGCCTTGAAACATTATGCATGAGACATGCTAATGCTGTTAGAGATGAGTAGATGACATCTATCTAGTCTGATCAGCTGTTTAGTTTATGCTGTCATGTTTTCCCTGTTACCATTGTGTTGTACCGTTGAGTTTTGGAGCTATTTGGCATGCAATCGAGGCACTATGGATGCCTTCTAACTGATTTGTGCCCGCACATTTGTAGCCATGGCTCATGGAGATTTGACCAATCAGAAACTGGGTTTAGTTCTGATTAAAATGAACGAAATGGTTATATCCATTTCTTGGCACCTAGTAGGCCTTCTCACTTACTACCTTCTATACAGTGCTTTTGAGATTCCTGTTGTTTATCCTTAATTCCCAGTAGAATTGCAATTAAACCAATAGTAGCGGCTGTTGTGTCCTATTTTCTGTTTGTGGTTGGAGTAGAATTTCTCTATGGTAAGTAGTCAGTTCGGTTAAGTCAGCTTAAACGTCTATCTGCTGTTTTTGAGAGCCCATGGATAGTGGCTGAGATCTCAAGGTCTTCGATAACCTTCCTTTGCTGTCTCTCTTAACTGATTATGATCATTGATTTGTTCTCGTAAGATGGATAAAGTTAGGGTATGCTCTGTGAAAAGGAAAAAAAAAGTTTCTCGGTACCGGTATTAAAGCCGGCTGAAGCTGATTTGTTGTGAGAGAAAAATACTGTAGATTCTAGCTGATAAGCCGGTTGATAAGTTCAAGTGAACAGGCCCTATGTCAAAGTGTCAAACTAGTCCTAGAACCAAGTTCCCTTGATATCACTGGCCGAGAGAATTTTGGTAATCTTTGGACTTGCAATTGTAGATAGTATCTTCAGCCCTCGCCCTCAACTTGTAAACATGTGGATAGCTTAATTGTACCTGAAGTCATAGGTGGTTTACTGAGCCACTGGTGTCTCCTAGGGTAGTCTGTGTAGCCAAACACACGAGGCGAGGTGTAGAACGTGCTCCTGTCATACTTGTTGAGACCCGGCTTCTTCCTGAACCGCTCCAGCAGGTCAGGGTTGGCCAGTAACAGCCGCCCGGGTGTGTAGAACATGCTGTGTGTGTTGGTCTCTCGGCTCATGGCACCTTCTAGTTCTGCTTCACTGTGGATATGTAACTCTACAAAAACTGCGTAGCTGTTATAAGAAATGCAAACAGAATATGAACATACATGATTTTATACAGCTCCCTAAAGTTGCCCAGAAAGTGACACGCTGTCGTGAATTATTGGTTAAAACCATGAGTGAAGAATAGCATCAATAATCGTGCAATCGAATCTGATGCAGGATTCAGAATCGAATTCATGCGTGTACGCACAGGCATTACACTACGTACATGAAAAATAAGGCACATGATGGCTGTCAGTCCATGGTGATCCTGCCCGGACCTCCCTTGAGTGAGCTGTACAGCGGCCTCGATCGTTTGAAGCCGAACATGTCTGTAATTCTGTACGTTTTCGGCGTGTCGGCTTCGTTGATCGCCTTCTTGAACTCTGCCGAATGGTTGCTGCCGAAGACTTGCACGCTTAGTGTCCTCCTTTGAGGCGCGCCGACTTTTATGTACTGGTCCAAGAACTCGATGAATTCTTCTTTCTTGAGCTCTCTTAGCACAGCGACCTGTTACATTTGTTAGCGAAGGTCATACATCTTGACAATTACTGGCACAATCTTCTTATTTCTGTTTCCTCTTCCTCTGAATATAAAATGGTGACAATTATAAATTTCGTGAAATTTTTCTAATATTACAGTATTATCTGTTTACTTGAAAGGCTACAGCCAGCCTGCTTGCTTTATACTTGATAATACAATTTCCTTTACACGCATTGTTGCTGAAAGGAGAGCACTTACCTCAGAACTGGACCTATCAAACTTCAGAGTTCCTGCCTCAATCTCTCCCCAGTAGAAATAAGATTGCTGCCATAAGTTTTTACACTTCTCCAGTTTGGAATCGGTTAGTGATTTCACAATTCTCTGAAATAACAAAGCCCATGTCAATGCTTCAAGCGCAAAAAGATCTAGTCCAGTGATATGAAGTAATGCCCTTTGGTTATGAACATACAAATAGTCCAACAAAGTAAAAAAATGAGGATAAACTTAGAATATCACGTCATATTTCTGGATTTTTAACCCGTAGTTTCCCATCCTTTTGATCCACTATCTAGGCCCATGTTCTCACCAATAGTGAGTCCTGTGTGAATGTGGCTTCTTTCAATCCAATGGTGGAGAGGCATGGTGTACTTACAAACAAAAGGAACAGCAAATTTGCATTGCAAAGCACATGGTTTACTAGAAAGATTCATTAGGTGTGAATGGAAAACCAAAGGCACTAACCTTGAAATCCTTGTCGGAGAGTTCATAGATTTTGCTTTCAAACATCTTAAAGAATTCATCAACTCTAACATCAAGGTATGAAGGATCCTAGACAACCAACAAAATATCAGCAGGAGCAACAACTACTGTAGCCCCCCCAAAAAAAACAAAAAAAAAACACTAAACTCGAGGTTCACGTGTACCTTTACTGTGGACTGGATAACAACCTGGAGTGCCAGGACTCCATAGTCAGATCTGTAGAATGTGGCAATCATTGTAAGGTAAGATCTAAATGATATATTTCAATTTCCAAATGTGAACTAAATCAATGATATATTTCAATTTTCAAATGTGAAGTAAATCTTCATGTTACTCCTAAAAGGAGAAATTGACAGTAAATGTAACCAAAACTTCAAGCATATACCTCACAGAAAGACTTGTTATATACCCAAGTTGTTCAACAGTTCGTAGCTGGTGGAAGGCTGGCTGGCTTGCTATTAGAGAGAACAGCTTAAGTTTGGTATTCAAAATGGCGTCATCCTGATGCACCTGAATATATTAAACATACTTAGTATCTGAATGCTTACAGTTAGTTTGAATGTCCCCTAGCAAGGTACATTCCATATATAATCAGAAAATCAGATATACTGAACCAGGGTGTTTAATTCTTATATTGACTATGGGTCAGAGAAGACTCCTTTTAGTCATTCTGACTTATAAATAAATTCTTGTTGAGTTTGAGTATTTGATAATAGTTTGCATGTAAGCAGAATATTGTATCACAGAGCTTTAAAATGTTAAATAAATGGGGTAAAACTTGCTGAATCTAATGAGTTTCACTGAGTGCACAACTCAGTGATAACCAGTGAACCACCAACAATCCTCTCCACAATATTTGAAGGTACAAAACACAAACCACCAATCACTTAAGTTTTGATTAATTCTCCCTCCGTTTTTAAATATATGACACTTAGGACAAGCTGTTTAGTTTATTTTTAACTAAATAGTTTGTCCTAAACGTCATATATTTAAAAATGGAGGTATGATTGCACTTAGGGGCTGTTTGGTTGGGAACCTGGCCTGGGCAGCACCAACCAAGTAGCTTCATCCAGCCCCAGGCGTCCAAAATCGGATGCCTGGGAGCTGCCTGTGCCAGACAGGTCCAGTCCACAAAACAAGCAGGCCCTAGCATGGAAGGAAATAAGACATCTATACCTGAATATATTGGATAACTGATAAATTCTCATTCTTCTGGTTTAATCCCTCAGTTTGGTAGTAGCATTTCAACTCATTTTCAAGCATGATGACCCTTTTAGTCAGATATTCGGATGGAGACATGGATTTGAACAAAGAATTTGGGGCATTAAATATAGTGTTTTCGATCTCTTGTATGACAGATTTTGCTTCACTTGGTTCAATGTTCCCTACAAGGAGAAATGTAAACGTGCAATTAGAAATATTTCCACTCAAGACTCACATAAACAAACTAACATAACACTATAATTGGTACAAATGCCAAACCTTGAACATAACATTCCAAAAATGTTTTCGACAGTAGGTGTGGTACAAACTTTGCAAAAAAATCTGATTCAAGCTTAGAAAGAGCTTCAAGTTTCTCAGCTCTATGCCAGTTTTTATCTTTCAATATCAAAGAGACATAGTATGAAGCTTGAGGAAGGGTGGGCCTGGTGCAAGCAGTAGAGTCTTACCGCCTGTGACCGGAAGGTCCCGGGTTCGAGTCGCGGTCTCCTCGCATTGCACGGGCGAGGATAAGGCTTGCCACTAACATCCTTCCCCAGACCCCGCACAGAGCGGGAGCTCTCTTCACTGGGTACGCCCCTTTTATAGTATGGAGCTTGAGAATGAGGTTGTCGGAAATTGAAATTCTGGTAGTCCTTGACAGAAGTTTCCTGAGATTTAAGATATTGGTCAGTAATTACTCATAAGAAATAACGATAATCCTTAGCATCACTGCCTTTTTAAAACGTACATATTGCTCTATTTCATCATAATCATGATGCAATGTGCCACTTGCTATGCATGAATGCACAAAAAACTGCACATCACAAAACAGTTAAACCTTGGAACTAGACACAGTTGCGCGATAGCACCAGGCCCCCCAAAATTAAGGATCTCCAATTACTAATTAGTCACTAAGTCCAGTTATGTCAAATTGTCAAGCCTAAAATTTGCTCCAAAGTATAGGTTAGGTTCCACATACGGCCAAAGCCCACATTGTTACTACTCTGGACGGTGTGTGATATCTTTATGGCTTCTTGCCTCCTGGACATGGATGCTTAGGGCGTCAATTCTGTTGACCTTTTGTCAACAGATTCGCATCAAGGTTTGATCACATTCAAAATTTACACCCTTGAACTTCACTTTATTCTTAATTGAGCTTTGTTCTATTTGTGAAATGTGAAACAAAGAGGTTCATTACTTTTCCACGTCTTCTAGAGTTAGAAACTACATACCAGCTATTTGTATTTCCCTAGCATAGGGAAACATTTTGTGTTTCGCACCAGAGCCTCAAAGTCCTTAGGTACGGGCATGATTACTAGAATATATGCTTAATGGCCTACTTTTTTTCCTGCACAAATTGTGGTGTTTTTTTTGTTAGCTAGTCCATCCATCCCAAATTATAGGTTGTTTTTGTTTGTCTAGATGCGCTTAGATACGCTATATCTAGAATTTAGATACATAATAAAAACTATAGATCTAGAAAAGTCAAAATAACCTATAATTTAAAAAGGAGGTCGGAGGTCATATTTGTTAGTATCTCTAAGAGCACCCGCAGTGTGCAAGAAAGCGATGCTTCAATTAGGAGAGAGAACGTCTGGGCATCGATTTTAACACTGCATGAGCCGATGCCTCGTCAAATTTTCCAGCCACCAATGCCTGAACATGTCTCGATGCTTGAAGATTAAAAAATGGTATGCACCCACTCGCACAGCGATTGTTCTGGGTCCCATGCTGTTCAGAAACCAGTCCTATGCTTGTTGTAGGCATCGACTGCACGTTGTGAGCAAGGCGTGGGTTAAAGCATCGGGGAGTTGTGTCAGTGGAGTTGACGTCTGGGCATCGGATACACTGCGGATACTCTAATAGGTATTGGCTAAGACTGTAATACAGGATGGTTAGGTGCATGGCTTAGACACCAAAATAAAGACAATTTCTTTTTCTAGAAGAATTATTTTAGATCGCTTCATTTGTATAAACTAAATTTAAGTATAAAAACCTTCTATTTAGCCAGATGCTTTTTGGAAGCCTGCCATAACTTCCATATAACTTGTAAGCCAACAAATATATTTCAATAATGAACAAGAATAACACAAATGCAGAGCACAAGGTTCATGGAACCTTGGTACTTTTTCAGGACTCCCAAATATCATGTCAACAACTCAAATCACATCAGCTGTAAGGTTAAATGCGGCTTAGAAATATTATGAAAGGGAACAATAACGAAAGTAATAAGATCCACATATTACCTTGAGGGCAGAAAATCTGTTTGGCTTAACTTCAAAATTCGCAATTTGCACTAGTATGGCATTTAAGAGAGCTCTCATCTTATCATTGTAACCACCTAAAGAAATCTTTAATAAACATTTAAAGTTAGGAGAGTTCTAACAAAATTAGCATAATACCAGTAACTTCACATTGCATCAGAATTGCAACAGTCAACATGATAATTATAAATGTAGCTGTTAGGAGCATCCATTGAAGGGTAGGCCTGGTGCAGCAGTGAGAGCTGTCTCACTGAGTTACCAGGTCGCGGGTTCGAAGTGTTAGGATCGATGTTTACCTTTGTGTGTAACCGTAGATCCGGGTAACATTCCATTCGCCGTGCGCGGTTGCGCTGTGACCTCGCGGACGCCGGTGTCGAGGCAGCTCCGGCTCGGTGGCGAGGTCTAGTGGCCCGGGTGGTGACCTGCAGGGGAGACGGCGGAGTCGGTGGGCCATCCCATCGCTGGCAGCACGGCTTTAGGATCGGATTAGGGTTTTCTGTAGGTGGGATTGCGGCTCCAGTGAACCTCGTTTCATGAGCCCAGTCCCCACTCCTCTATTTATGTGCTGTGCGACAGGGGCCCACCAACCAGTTAGGGTTGGGCTCCCCCGATCAGGGAGCAGAGGCAAGGGCCCAATAGGCCGTTGGGCCTATTAGTGGAGATCAACTAACATTCTCCCCCTTGATCTCATTCCATCTTTTACTTTCATATCATTTACTTTTGTTCATTCCATTACAGATTAGCTCATAGAGCATGTCTCATCGTCACGGTCCATTGCCGATAGACTTAACAGCTACAACTCACTACTCTGTTCTGAAATAGATACTTATCTTTGGGCCTTCTTTTGTCCAGGAATATTTTAGGCTTTCCCTTAAAACCCATGCTAGCTACATGTTCTCTGAACATGTTGGGTGGTAAGCCTTTTGTAAGCGGATCCGCGAACATCCTTTCTTTTCTTATATGCTCAAGACTTATGACTTGATCCTGGACTTTATCTTTCACAACATAATACTCTATGTCAATGTGTTTGGCAGCACCACTTGACTTATGTTGTGAGCATCCTGTACTGCCAGATTATAATCGCAGTATTATTTTAGTGGTCTATAGATGTCGTCAACCACTTTCAAACCGGGTATGAACTTCGTTAGTTAGTTCACCTGCCCGTTGCCTCATAACACGCTACAAACTGTCATACATTGTGGACGATGTAGTGACAGTTTACTTTGAGCTTTTCCATAAAATAACTCTCCTTTGCGAGATGATAGAAAATCCACGTCTGGATATGCATTCACTCTCGCATAATCAGAATCTGAATATCCCACTATGTGGAGTGAATCAGATCTTCTATATGTCATCATGAGGCCTTTCGTTCCTTGCAAATAATGCAAGACTTTCTTTACTAATTTCAGTGTTCTATTCCAGAATTGCTCTGGAATCTGCCAAGTAAAACCCGGTAACAAATGCCAAGTCAGGGCGCGTACATACTTGAGCATGTTGCAAGCTTCCGACAACTGAAGCATATGGAACCACTTTCTCTTTATCGATTGAGCTCATATTGGTTCCTGGGGCATTGAAAATCCCCATATCCGTCGCCCTTGACTACAGGAGCAGGTGAGGGACTATATTTGTGCATACTGAATTTCTTTAAGATCTTTTCCATGTATGCCTTTTGTGACAGTCATTATACCCTTTTCTTCTATCTCGGTGAATCTCGATCCCTAGAACGAACGAGGCTTCGTCAAGATATTTCATATCAAGTTTTGAGAACAAAACTTCTTTGTCTCCTGTAGTAGACTGACATCACTACTAGCAAGTAAGATATCATTTACATACAGGATAAGGAAGATAAACTTTCCAATCTTAAACTTTGCATAGACACAATTGTCCTCTACATTCTCTTTAAAACCCAAAATTCTTTATTGTTTGATCAAACTTCAAGTACCACTGTCTTGAAGCTTGTTTTAATCCATGAATGGATTTCTTTAGGCGGCATCCCATTCGTTCTTTTCCTTCCATGACAAAACCTTTTGGTTGTGCCATGTTAACATTTTCCTCCAAGTCTCTGTTGAGAAATGCCGTCTTTACATCCACATGATGTAATTCTTAATCGTAATGTGCCACTAATGCCATTAAGATTATGAAGGTAACTTTACATGAGACTGAAGAAAAAGTCTCATTGTAATCAATCCCTTCTCTTTGCATAAAGCCTTTTGACACAAGTCACCCTTTATATCTCTCTATATTCCCTTGAGAGTCAAGTTTTATTTTGTAGACCCGTTTACAGCCTACTGTTTTGGCTCCTTTAGGAATTATTTCCAAGTCCCAAACTATATTGGCATTTATTGATTTCATTTCATCTTCCATGGCCTCAAGCCACTTTGATGAATGATTACTTTTCATGGCTTATTCAAATGAGGTGGGATCATCCTCCATTTGAAATTCTTTAGTGTTGTACACTTCATAATCAAAGAGAATAGCTGATTTTCTAACTTTTGAGACCTTCTAGGGTCTTCACATTTGGCACATCTTCTGTTTGAGGTCATTGTTGCTCCCCTCATGTGTGGCAATAGGTTCTATAGGATCTGAAGAACAGGTTCCTCATCGTTATTCATTGTTGCCACAGGTGGGATAACAACAGTCTTTGCACCACAAATATTTAAATCTTGTCGGTCTGCAATGACAACAGTAGTGAGAAAAATGGCCCATGAATCATTAGAGTGGGCGCAAACACCCGCTTCACTTCAAGGTCAATTTCTCGATCTACCATGCTCCCCCTCATCAATTCATCCTCTAGGAAGACAACGTGTCTCGTTTCTACAAACTTTGTATGTCTTTCTGGACAGTAGAAAACGAAAGCCTTTTGACTTTTCTGGGTAGCCAAACAAATGGCAACTTACTATTTTAGGATATAACTTCCCAATGTTTGGGTTAAATACTTTAGCCTCAGCAGGGCTCCCCCACACACACGCAAGTGATTTAGTGAGGGTACTCTTTCTATCCATAACTCATACGGCGTTTTGGGCACCGACTTTCCTGGTACTTTATTGAGAATATGAATGGCCGTTTTCAACGCCTCCATTCACAGGCTCAACTGTAAGGTGGAGTAACTTATCATACTGCCCACCATATCCATCAAGGTACGATTGATTCTTTTAGCTACTCTATTCTGCCGAGGTTCGGCCTGTAGAATCTTCGGGCTACTATGCCATTCTTTTTTAGGGTATGTGACCGTAGTACTCCTCCACAGTCATTCTGACTATCTTAATCTTTAATATCTTAAATTTATCCAATACATCTTTTCTTTCTTTGATTGGATAAATATAGCCATAATGGGGAGTAATCATCTGTGAATGTTATGAACGAATCATAACCATCCACACTCTTTACAGAAAAAACCCACCACGTATGTCGTGGCAGAATAATCTGAAAATTCACGTGCTTCGCTTTGTCATCTTTCTTTACATACTTTCCTTTTATGCATTCTCTGCATTGAACTTAATCTGAGAGCTCTAATAGAGGAAGAATATCATTCTTAACTTGTCTTTCTATTCTCCCCCTCGAAATATGGCCTAAACGACAGTGCCATAATTTCGACAACGCATCGTGAGCTCTCTTATGCCACCATTTCCAGAGTAACACTCTGTGACCAGCTTTATCAGCTAAGTGGCATATGTCTTTGAAGAGCCAGTGAACTGCTCTTTATTCTATCGAGGTACTCGGTGACTGTGTCACATTCTGGGATTGAGCCCACAATTGTAGGTTCAATCATGTTCTTTATCACAGCC